AAAGCAGACCGAAAATACCACCGCAAGCCCAAAGACGCATATTTACAACTCGCTATGTATAGAAATCTCTAACGGCGAGAAACACAGCACAAGATACCAGACTTGCCCAGGAACCAGAGGGATCCAATAAAGCGGAAAATCGACAGACCGGCGGTTGTCCACAGAATAGCGGCGAAATATTTGGAGGTACGAATGGTAGAAGTGTTCTTTGAATGTTAGTTTATGCCACAGCCAAGGGTTAGACAAGATACATACTGTGAGACAGAGACGGGTGATGCCTTCACTGGTGATACACAGTGCAAGGATCAGGTTGCTGAAAATCCAAATTAACACCAGGTTGGTTCGGAAAGCCTTATAGCCATCATCCATGCTTGGTTCGTCATTATCTTCAGGCTCAACATATGGCTCCAGTGCTCTCTTGACCGTCGATTCGAACTGACTGTCGATATCGGCCTGCGGCTTATCGACTTCTTCAATGAAGTTTGACTTGGCGTCATCCTTCTTCGTCTCAGCGACGGGCAGCGAGTCGCCCTTGTCAGAACCCTTGGTACCCCAGGAAACGTCATGCCAGTTGCAGAAAGCGTAGACCATCAGGATATTGATCGAGCAGGTCATACCGGCAAAGTACGCCCAGGAGGACGTGAACATATGCCAGGGATCCATGTATAAGAAACTTGCGAGGAAGTAAATACCATAAGTCGATACCAAAGCGATCAGGACGATACCGGCCCCGGATGAACCGAAGAAAGACTTCAGGAAGTGGGAAACACCTTGGTCCATAGAGAAATCAAGCGTGCCTCCAGTGAAGGCGTTCTTGACAAGGTAGAATGATAGAACCATGATGTAAGTTTGAACGATACTGAAATACATGAACGAAAGCGTGTATGCGAGACGCGAACTGTTTCAAATGTCAGTTTGACATTATGGGGTAATTTTTTCAGATTTTAGCTTACCCTTTCGGTCGATTTCCTAGCGCTAGGATGAACTGCAGCATCAAGAAGAAGATGTATCCGTACTTCAGGAAGTTGTTCACGATTGGCGTCGCTTCGTTACCGAACGGCCATCCTCTATTCTTGTTGGACGGACTAGGAGTTCCGACAAGATCCATGATGACAGTAGTAGTCAGCCAGAACGAGGCTAGTACGAGTTAGTATGAAGATTCACCAAAGAACAGGAGATCCGAGGCATACCGAGAGAGAACCAGGTCATGACAAGACCCATGAAGTTGTATGTCATTTGGATATGCAGGAAAAACAGCCGTAGGAGGTTGTGGCCACTCTTATAAATCCTTCCAAAATGCATCATTGCGTACAAACTGGCGGCGAACGAACCGTTCAACCAACGACGTCGCTGACTGATAAACTCGGCTGCACCCTCCGGCACATCAGTCTCGCCCTTTGACGCCTTCACGTAGGTTAGATGCCATTTGAATCCAGCCTTTGCCACAAGCTCGAAACATAAGATACGGTCCTCAGCGAGGAACATATTCTTTTTAAAGATATTCATGCCCTCAATACCCTTCTTACCCAACTGCTTTGAGAGTGTATGATCGCCGTGGAAGTACTGCTCTAACGGGCGACCCATAATAGCGCGATAGCGGTACGCGGAGAAGGCACCCGGTAACACACTAACGTACCCGAAGGCACTCTCTAGCGGTTTGTCAAGAATATTGGAGATCTTGTACTCGAAGTTTTGTGCGGCGACGAGGGGGTTCATCAAGTTTTTCCAACCTTGTCCTAACATTGCGTGAATCTCACCGCAAGATCCACCTAGGTTCTTGTCATTGTAGAAAGACTCCCACAATGCAAGGAGTGATTTCTTTCCCGGTTTAGTTCCGGCATCAATGAGAATCACGACTTCGGGGTTAAGGATTCGGCTGAAACCGTTGAAGAGCCAGCGGTGGGAGTTAATCTTTTTACTGTTCTTCTGCTTCAGACAGAAAATCATTTGAACAGGAGGAAGGTTTGATGACTCGTTGCCCTGGGGCCGGATCAACTGTTGGCTCGGTGTAACTGAGAGTTGGGTGGTATATTCGAACTTGATCTTGTTAGTGGATTTTCGTCGGCCACGAAGACACCGGGAAAGAGGGTAGACTTTGCCAAGGTGCATCAAGACTATAAGAACTCACGATGTGTGCGACAGTTTCCCGACCATCGACGGAGCGCTTCATGATGCCATCTTGGTAGATACCAACAGTGGCTAATAAGTCGAGGGTATTTTTGTCGCAAGGATCAATACCATCAAAAACCAAGGAGCACACAATCTTTTGCCAGGCCGGGCCACCTTTATTCCAGAATTCCGACTTCTTCAAATTGACGATATCTCGAATGTTCTGCATGACGCCGTGGAGCGTCCGCGCGGTCAGAACTTTATCTTCGTTATAATATGTGATAGCGATCAAAAGCTCAGTGTGTCGGTTGTACATAGCCGGTCGCAGATTGTATCCGTTTCGTAGGGTGAACTCGTCAGGATCACAGGTGGCCGCGGTATCTGTGTGCGATTAGCTCGAGTCGCATGATCAAGATTTGACATGAAGACTTACAACGCAGATGCGTGAATTCTTCCGGGAAACCCTCCTCCGATTCCCGGTACTCCTTCTGTATCGCATTCTGGATGGCGCTTGGAACTGGATAGTCGACACTGAGCACAGAGCCCTGGACCAACTTAATCTTTCGCGTAGCATAACGCCGCAGCCCTGACACAGGTGCCTGTCGGTTTTGCCAAGCTTCCGACGGAGTCTCAGACATGGGTGATTGAATACCCGAACGACGGCTGTTGAGTCCTCCTGCGGACTCCTGGTATGGACCATCGGGGAAGATGGTGACTCCGGGGTCCTGTAGTGTGTAGCGACGGAGGGAATCGGTCGAGGCATATGGGTCATCGAATGAAGCGTTGAAAGGGCTAGGCTGGTTTCGGTAAAGCAAAGACTGCTGGCTGTCGAGGTTCTCGGGTTTCTCCTCGTAACCGTACGCTTGCTGCGGAACAAACTGGATTAGCATCCACTGCTGTCTTGATCGGTCTCCTCTGTTTGTTTGTTTTTTTCGTTCCGAGTGGCTGGTCACTCACCTCTCGTGGACCATACACGCTAGTCTCGCTGGCTTGGGGTGAATGAGATAGGTCGCCTGAGTGAGGCGAGTGAGGCGATGTGCTCCTCTGAGGAAAAGACATTATGTGTTGCTCGTGTTCCCTGGATTTGGTGGAAAGGGAATACAGATATAGTTGGCGGGGTGATATCTCAAGGATCCAAAGAAAATATGAGAGAAGACTGAACTGAATTCCAGGTACAATCCGGCGCCTCAATAGCAACAGCGCAACAGCGCAGCAATGACCTCGTGGGAGATGTTGAAAGCAAGGCAGGCGACCTGTCCAGAGATCGAACCTGTATGAGAAACAATATGGGACCTAAGTAGAAAATAGCGGAGGGTTGAGGTTCAAAGACGTGTGCGAGGAGAAGGGCTCCAGATGCCATCTATCCAGGAGATATTTTTGGTGCAGAATTTGATTGGAGGTGCCAACGATGTGGGCTGTGAAAGGGCGACTGAGGTGGAACCCCAGCACATCAGCAATTGTCGTTCGCCATCCACCCTTTCTGAGGATCCACCATGGAGCCGTCCGAGACAGGACATACATATTGGGCATTGCCAACCGCCTTTCCCCTGCCGATGCATAACCATTACCTGCAAGTACCATGGTACCCCAACCACCGGATGATTCTTCCCCTTGGTCATAATTCTTTCAGTATCCAAGGTATACTTCTGTACGGGTATGGGATTTGACTCTGTCCCGAGCCTTGTTATGACAAACATAACTCGTCGAACATGTAACAGGCTGCGGGTCAACGGTGCCATGCGTCATGACATTGGTCAACAGGTGTCTCCTATGACCCATCACAGGCCCCCTCAATTAATATTTGCTGTACCTATCCCTTCTACCATCCGAAACACCCCTGAGCGATCTTGCATCAATGTACGGAGTACTCATGCTCGTAAGCACACTGGCAAGGCGTCTCTGCCAAGCAATCACAGCGTGACGGGCTGGGGGTGGCGACTCCCGGAGATGACGACGAGGCGTCATGGAACGATCGGCTGTCTTCTAGGGGGCTGAATTCTGAATCTGCAACTGGCTTACGAGGGTCCACATATGCAGCCATCGTTATAAATATGGTATGTGGGGAGTGAAAAATAGAGAAAGAAAAAAAGAAAAAAGAAAAAAAAAGAAAGCCGCTACCACAGCAACAGAGAGAGAGACATGTTGGGATGCCGTGTGAATAATGTGTGTCATGTGCCCGGTCACGTGCTCCACCATATACGCGTACACAACTTATTATGTTCCCTTGCATATGCGTACACTGTACAAGATACATACAACATATACAAAGTACACTAACACGTACGACACATCCGTGGACCCTTGGAAGATGAATCTAGCTGCCTTGGCGACTATCATTTATTTTTAGGTCTTAGAATCTGAAAATTTGAAGTGGTCAAATTCTCTATTAATACATATTTTCCCACTTTGAAACCATAAATATTGTATCAATAGTTTCCTTTTGTTTGAAAGTGATGAACTTATTTCTCCTGTGCGAAAACATTGTGTCTGTTCTGTTTCTCTAACTTACTTGGTACATCTATTATTATGTTCGGCCTCTCCGCCCTCACCCGACATCGGACTTCATTGCGAGCGTAGCTTCCCCAAGGACTTAAGTGACGGACTTAAGTGACGAGTCTTGTCCCAAGAGGCTGATGTTGATTTGCTGAATTACTTCTAACCTAAATGTAAGGGAAGCTTCATCATGTACCCAGTAACATCAGATAAGTTGGCACCAGATCGTTCGACCTTCCAAGGTTACCCGAGGTCATTATTTGATAATGCCGCGCAACATGCGGGGTAAACGATCTATCTACCTAGGTATTAGTTTACGGAGTACGTTGCGCGCTTCTAAATCGTCATCCGAATAAAATTTCAATTCGATCAAAGGCTATTACCTCCTGTGCTTAACGATGTCGCCTCAGAGACCTTCGTTTGATGCCCTACCTTTACGCAAAGATGGGCCTCCAGGGAATGCTTGGGGGATGTTTGGCGATCAAGATCAGATGGGCATGCTCAATCTGTTGACCCCAGAAAACACCGCCGCGGCTGCTCGCGAGATTGTTGACGGCGTGCGTGTCTCAACAGATTGGGCTCTCAATAGTATGGCGACCCCCTGCTTTGGACGGTCTTCGTTTGAGCACATCATCAAGCACAAGGCTCCCCGGATAGTCAACGATGATATCTTGACTTTCAATACCCAGAGTAGTAGTCAATGGGATGGCTTCAGACATTATGGCTCAAAGCAAGGAACTTACTTCAATGGGTGTACCCAGGACGACATCCAAAAGTCTACTCGAAATGGCATCCACGGTAATTCCCTCTGATTTCCAAACTTCGGGGTTTCTACTAAACCTCCCTTAGTCTGGGCCGATAACGGCGGTATTGTTGGACGGGGTGTTCTGTTGGACTATGTGGGCTGGGCGGCAGCGAACGGGAAAGAAGTGAATTGCTTTGAAACCCAGTCAATCCCGGCCTCTGTACTCCAGGAGGTAGCTGCTAGTCAGAATACTACATTCCGGCCAGGAGATATCTTGTTTATTCGCACGGGCTGGACCCGAGCGTACGAACAGCTGTCCAAAGCGGAATGCCAGAAACTGGCCGACTATGCAGCACCTCCAGTGATTGGGGTAGAATCGTCCGAGGCCACCCTGCGCTGGATTTGGGATCTTGGATTAGCCGCCGTGGCGGGAGATATGCCGAGCTTTGAAGCATATCCATGCCAGAATCAGGTTTTCTTTCTTCATGAATGGTTGCTAGCGGGATGGGGTGTCCCGATTGGCGAGTTATTCGATCTCGAGCAGCTCAGCAAGGAGTGCCGCAAGAGAGACCGTTGGACCTTTTTCTTTAGTAGCGTGCCATTGAAGGTGTGTATAGATAGATTCTACTTCTGTTCCCAGCTGACCACATTTATCAGGTTCCTGGTGGGGTTGCAAGCCCCCCGAATGGCGTTGCTATATTCTGACCATAGGTTTTTCCCGTCTTTTTTGATCATACATATCATACGGAGTACAGTCTAACTCTTTGGGGATAGCGCGGAATGCAAGTGGGGGTCTTTACAAATTGTACGGAATGAGCCTCGAAATATAGTGAAATATATCAGAATACACCTGTCATTTCCAGCCTAGACACCTAGGTATAATTAGATGAAGCAAGTCATACAGACGATTGATTCCCTTCTATCGTACCACATCACCGTGGGGAAGTCGGGCCGAAGAGATAAGTGAAAAAGCGGAGAATCCGGGGCTTTCCGTGCCGGTCTGGGTTGTTTGTCATTCTACAACGTTTCGCCAGTTCATGTTGTATGCAGATCTAGCAGATCTAAACACTTCTAAGATCTAGCTTAAAAAGAAAAGAGTGAAATGGTCCTTGGAAATGCAGGTATCTCGCGCCAGGCAGAAGATCGCTCAAAAAGGTCGATGGTAGCCTGTAACCGCTGCCGTTCTAGAAAAACTCGCTGCGCCGGCAATCCACCCCACCCTTGTGCAGCATGCGTGGATGCGGACAAGCGTTGTGTATATTCAGAGGCCGAGAAGCGAATCACTATAACGGAAAGGTGAAGTCGGTCTAAGATCGTCGGAAAGAGTTAATGCTGACTCTCTCTGCAGCTACTATCGCCAACTACAATCGCAACCTCCTGCATCACGGGGTAGGTTTCATACCTACCTAGGTAGTCATCTGGACGCAATCTAACCACCCAGGATAGAAGGTAGTCACCCAACGCCGTCAAGTGAGCCATCGATATCCAACCGCTACTCTGAGGGGCCATCAGAACGCGACGACTGGTGGTACAAAGGGACGGATAATTTGTTCTTGAAGCGGTCGGGAGAACATCGTACGCATTGCGCTGGAAGTTAATTTATTTCTATTATCTTGCTAATCTTTTCTCAGATTTCGTGGGTGCCTCGTCTACTACACATCTCGCCAAACGACTCAATCCTAGCTCCACAAACCTTGCATGGGATGTGCGTCCACTTTACGATGATCCTTCATCATTGAGAAGACCAGTCGGGGGCTCATTGCCTCAATTACCACCTTTCGAGTTTGCCAAGCGACTGTTCTGGGTACAATACGCTTACATCGGTACCATCTTCTCCCTTATCAGACCCTTGGAGTTTGAAGAACGGCTGGATCTAGTCTATCACCAACCACTTGACTTTTCACATCGTGAATCTTGCCTAGTATACTGTCAAACACTGTTGGTTATTTCCTTTGGCTTGATGTATAGTGTGAACCAGTGGATTGGCGAGGAAGGTCCTCCCGGCTTCAAATATTTCAAGCATGCATTACGTTTCTTGCCAGATATCCACGAAGAGGGCTCAATTCTCTTCGTTGAGGTACTATGCTATGTGGCATACTATATGCAGAATCTGAATAGGCGGGATGCTGCCTTCCTCTACGTATGTTTTCCTTCCATTAGCTTCCTCTGTACCGCTAACGACGTCAGATTGGACTTTCTCTGCGCATGGCTATCTCCTTAGGTCTACACCAAGAGGTATCTGATCTTTCAATAAGTGAATCAGATCGCAACCGTCGACGTCGGGCTTGGTGGTCTGTCTACAGCTTGGACCGGTAATTTGGCCAATTCCCTTATATTCCTGAGAACAATACTTATACGGATAGAATCCTCTCTGTCAAGTCTGGTAATCCCATTACAATTCACGATGAAGACATTGGGATAACTTGGCCTACGGCTGTGGTATGTTGCCTTCTATGGCATGCCTAGGTATTCGCTGATTTGGGTTTTTTCGACCTAGGGTGGATCAACCGATCCATGGCCATCGACCGTTCTTATTCATTACACACAACTATCCCGTATATTGGGACGGATTGGGGAAGGTAGAATATTCTTCTTGATTTTTGTCGCATTGCCAAGCTGACCTAGATGGCCACATCAGAAATCTACAGAAAGAAGCCTGTATCCGGATCTAACCTCGTTGCTTCTGTTCAGAGTATCACAAATGACCTCTCTGGCTGGCTGCGACAAGTGCCAGATCGACTCCGCATCGATTTCAATACACTCAATACCCATATCAATCGAGAGTCTGTCTCAATCAACTTGCACTTCTACTCATGTGTGAACATGACTGCGCGCCCGTTGGTCTTTTATATCATCCAACGGCGACTCGACGCGGAAGCCTTTGGATCCACAACAGAAGACTGGAAAGAAGGGCTGGCTCCCAATACCGTTGCCGTCATTGACAGCTGTATTACGGCAGCGCGAGCAACCACTTTGATCATGGATGCAGCTACAAAACATAATCTCATTGGTAGGCGATCGCAATACAATCCCATCTCTTCTGTCATGAAACCATCTGATTGAACGGACATTCTAGCTACATATGGATACCTCGATGGCGACTATATCTTCTCTGCTGCACTGCTGCTGGTTATGGTGAATGCTGCGTTTCCGCCCAATGAAGTCAGCGCCCGGGCAATGGAGACCGCACTGAACCTTCTTCGCGGTATGGCAGATCGGGGAAATACATATTTGGACTCGCGTCACTCATTACTGTTGGAATTACGGTCGGCCATTGGACCTAAAGCTGCTGAAGAGAAGGATACTGATGCGGCAAGTTCTCTCGTGGCAGGTCAAATGGGCCCTGTGACGCCAATGACCGAAAATGGCGTAAATCCATATGTTCTAGATCCGGGTGCGGAGTTAGCAGCTTCAGAAGAGCTTACTTATAACTGGCCGGAGCTGCCAGATCTCCCTTCTTTCCGGGATATCGCCTTCCAGTTAGATCTAAACGATGATCCAGCACTCTGGGAAGGGGCATTGGATCAAATCGACATTGACATGGACACTGACTGGATTGAGAATACTCTAAAGCGATGAGAATGAATATATATCACTTACCCCTTATTATTCTGTGCTAGTTCTTAGTTCTAAGTTAGTATTGATGTAGCTTATACACCACATCTTATCACGATCTGCATCCGCCATGCGACTCTGATCGTTGATATATGCTTGCTTGCTTCCTGTTTTCTATTTGCTATCTGGTTCTTGTTCATACGTGGTTTGCTAGCTAAGCCAGAGATCGATGTTTGTATGTCCCACTTCTGCATTTACTCTCTCTTTTTTCTTCATCTTAATTATTTTGAAAGACGCACTCCTTAGACCTGGCACGTCACATATTGGATAAATTGATGCCTGAGGCCCATACAACTTATATGGATTTCTCCACAACTTGCTAACTATTATTATTATCATTATGTAGACTATACATGAGCCCCCTATCTTCCCCTCCATCCCCAATCTCACCCCGCGGCTTATCAAGCTGTGGAGGTATCGGCCCGAGGAAGCCGAAATAGGAGCCATCGGCCCGACACGTGACATTCATCTATCATTTGGAGGTGTGTTGGGATATCGGGACGAGCTCTGTGACATAAATGAATATGGTTCTCTCCTGACCTTCTTTGTCTGTTGTTATATTCTTTCCTTTTTTGAACCCACTCACATCTTCCCAACTACTAGTCGCAATGTCTGACTCAGGGAAGATCACCATCTCCATCGATCGTGGCGGTACATTTACTGATGTCCACGCGATTCAACCTGGCCGTCCCGACATTATCTTGAAGCTTCTCTCTGTCGATCCTTCTCATTACCAAGATGCCCCGACTGAGGGTATCCGTCGGATTCTAGAGCTTGCCACCGGGGAACCACACCCCCGAGGCCAACCATTGAGACTCGACCGTATTGGTTGCCTCCGCATGGGCACAACCGTTGCAACCAATGCCTTACTCGAGCGCAAGGGTGCCCGCTCAGCACTCTTCACAACGAAAGGGTTTCGAGATTTACTGAAAATTGGCGACCAATCTCGCCCGGCCATTTTTGACCTATCAATGACTCGGCCCGGAGTACTCCCGGAGAGTGTCGTCGAAGTCAACGAACGTGTGCTGTCGTGCCATCCTTCTGCTGATAGCGCTTGCTTCTCCGATTGCCGCTTAGTAGAAGGAATCACCGGCGAGAATTTCCGCGTGGTGCAAGAACTAGACCTCGTTCAGGTGAAGGCAGAGCTCCAACGACTAAAGGAGCAAGGAATTTTGTCAATCTCTGTGGCGCTACTGCATTCTTACGCATATCCTGAGCACGAGCGTCAAATCGGCGAGCTCGCTCAAGAGATGGGATTCTCGGTCACTCTCTCTTCAAACCTTCAACCCATGATCAAGATCGTGCCTCGTGGCATGTCGGCCGCTGCTGATGCCTACCTTACACCTGTTATCAAGACATATATTGATTCTATCTCTTCCAGCTTTGAAGGTGGGTTGGAGAGTCAACAGAACTGCCGATTTGAGTTCATGCAGTCAGATGGTGGACTGGTTGATTTCCGCAAATTCAGCGGGCTGAAAGCGATTTTGTCCGGCCCCGCAGCTGGTGTGGTTGGCTTTGCAGCCACTAGCTGGGACCCCACCGAGAAGACTCCCGTCATTGGTTTCGATATGGGTGGTACTAGCACAGATGTCTCCAGATTCGATGGCCACTTTGAGCATGTATTTGCCTCTAAGGTTGCAGGTGTGATAATCCAGTCCCCTCAGCTTGATATTAACACTGTTGCTGCTGGCGGCGGCTCCATCCTCACTTGGCGTAATGGCTTGTTTTATGTCGGGCCTGAGTCAGCAAGTGCTCATCCTGGTCCGGCATGCTACCGTAAGGGTGGCCCTCTTACAGTGACAGACGCCAATCTGTTCCTAGGTCGCCTTCTGCCCGAGCACTTCCCGAAGATCTTCGGGCCGAATGAGAACGAGGCTCTAGATACAGAGACGACTGCACGCCTTTTCAATGAACTCACACAGAAAGTCAATATTGAACGCCGGCAGCAAGGCCAGTCGGAATTTTCCCCAGAGGAGATTGCACTTGGTTTCCTTCATGTGGCCGATGAATCTATGTCCCGGCCAATCCGTAACCTCACGGAGGCTCGTGGCTTTGAGACGGCATCTCATCATTTGGCATGCTTCGGAGGTGCTGGTGGCCAGCACGCATGCTCAGTGGCCAAAACGCTCGGAATATCCCGCATCATCATTCATAAGTATTCTTCCGTTCTATCAGCATACGGCCTTGCTCTGGCAGAAGTTGTCAAGGAGTCTCAGGAACCTGTTTCGTCAGCCTACCTATCTTCACAATCTATGCTTCTTCAACGCCTCGATAACTTGTCAGCATCAGCAACCAAAGATATGGAATCTCAAGGCTTCCCTTCCACTCAAGTGCGCCATGAGCAATACTTGAACATGCGCTACGAAGGTTCTGATACCAGTCTAATGATCCGGAAGCCCGAGAGCTCAGACTTCCTGGAAGCATTCCGCATTCGTCATCGCCGGGAATTCAACTTCAACTCTGACCGACCTGTCCTTGTTGATGACGTCCGAGTACGAACCATCGCCTCTTCCAAGGTGCGGACCGAGCAAAGTCCCTTGGTTCAACTGAAAAAAGCCGATCTGCGAGATGTAGCGCCGGCTCTAAATACCACATCAGCCTACTTTGGCCAGTTGGGTCGGGTGGATACACCAGTTTACCTTCTAGGTGAATTGGAGAAGAATTCCCGCATTTATGGCCCGGCTATCATTATTGATCAAACCCAAACAATTGTCGTGGCCCCCAACGCAGTGGCGAACCTGCTCGACACCTGCATTGTCATCGATCTCAATGACGAACCAACCTCATCTGGAAGCGCTCTGTCGTCGGAAATTGACCCCATCAGGCTTACTATCTTTGGACATCGGTTTATGTCTATCGCTGAGCAGATGGGTCATACACTACAGAAGACCTCCGTTTCAACTAACATCAAGGAGCGGCTAGATTTCTCTTGTGCTCTATTCTCCCCCGATGGAGGTTTGGTTGCCAATGCACCCCATGTTCCGGTTCATCTTGGATCTATGCAATTTGCCGTGCGTTATCAGCATGAGAAGTGGCTAGGCAACCTGAAGGATGGTGATGTTCTGGTGGCCAATCACCCCAGTTGTGGAGGCACCCATCTGCCCGATATTACAGTAAGTCACCTTCATATTGACTACATCAAATACTAATATATCTATAGGTCATTACACCGGTCTTTGACCGACCTGGTGGCTCCGAGATCATGTTTTACGTGGCTTCCCGTGGACATCACGCTGACATTGGTGGTATATTACCTGGATCAATGCCTCCCAAATCCACCGAGCTGTGGCAAGAAGGCGCCGCCATCGAAGGTGATAAGATTGTCAGTGATGGTATCTTAGATGAGGCACGGTTGATCGAGTTGCTGGTCACAAAGCCCTCGCAGTATCCCGGCTGCGTTGGAGCACGCTGCATTAGCGACAATTTGTCTGATCTGAAGGCACAGATTGCCGCCAACACTCGTGGAATCAGCTTGATTCAAACTCTGTTTAACGAATATGGAACCCAGACCGTGCAAAAGTACATGTACGCCATCCAGGCAACCGCCGAGGCTGCGGTGCGCAATCTTCTCAAGGAACTATATCAGAAGTTCAATGGCCAGCCATTGGAGTCAGTCGACTACATGGATGATGGCACCCCCATCCGATTGAAGGTCACCATCAACGGTACCGAGGGGTCAGCTATCTTCGACTTCGAGGGTACAGGCCCTGAGGTTTATGGTAGCTGGAACGCTCCTATTGCCATTACTCACTCGGCTATTATCTACTGTCTACGCTGTATGATCAATGCAGATGTGCCACTGAACCAGGGATGCTTGGCGCCAATTGACATTCGTGTTCCTTCGTCCAGCATTTTGTCACCGAGCAAGACTGCTGCCGTCGTTGGTGGCAACGTTGTGACCTCACAGCGCATTACAGACGTCGTGTTCAAAGCCTTCCAGGCTTGTGCCGCGTCTCAAGGCTGCTGTAACAACCTGACCTTCGGTAGAGACGCCAAGCTTGATCCGTCCACCGGTGCTGTCATCACACCTGGATTTGGATATTACGAGACTATCGCGGGTGGCAGTGGTGCTGGCCCAACTTGGAAGGGTGAGTCTGGTATACAAGTTCACATGACCAACACGCGGATCACCGATCCTGAAATCCTGGAAAAACGCTATCCGACGATGCTCCGCCAGTTCGCTCTACGTGAGGGCTCTGGCGGCCAGGGTAAGAACCCCGGTGGCGAGGGAGTGATTCGCGACATCGAATTCCTTTCACCAATTCAATGTTCGATTCTGTCTGAGCGCCGTGTCCATCGGCCTTATGGGCTGGAGGGTGGCCAGGATGCACAGACCGGGTTCAATCTGTGGATCACGCGGGATCCAGATACTGGCAATGAACGCCGTGTTAACATTGGCGGCAAAAACACTGTCTCAATGAAGACACACGACCGGGTTGTGATCAACACTCCGGGTGGTGGTGGCTGGGGGGCTGTATGAATAAGTTGTATAGCGCGAGCATGATATTTCTAGTATACCAATCTCAATTAAATACACAGTTAGAGATACAATGGAGCTTTTTTGGCCTCATGAATAAAATCACAAAATTTCCTTTTCACAACTTAGACTTTCCAAATACTGGTCGCCACATTTCATTCATTAGTCGGGTGGTGTTTACCATGTCTGGTCGCAATTGGTCGAGGGAAGAGACTCCAAGCATCTTCATGGTGATTTCAAGTTCTTCGGCGATGACTGCCAATGTGTTAGCTTCGAATTGACTTGAATACCGGTCCCAACTTACTGTCGGTACATCTTTCCACTCCTTCGGCGCCGTATGCCGCGAGGGCATAGTAGTAAGGCCGGCCCACTCCAACGGCGGTCGCTCCGAGACACAATGCCTTGAGGACATCTGCTCCGTCGCGAAGACCTCCATCAACAAACACCTGGAGCTTGTCGAAGGCCTCCGGGTAGTACGTGCGAATCTCCAGGAGCGTCATCAATGAGCTTGGGGCGGAATGAATCTGCCTGCCTCCATGGTTGCTCAACAGAATTCCCTGCACACCATATTGGACAGCCAGCTTCACGTCCTCTACACTTTGAACCCCCTTAAGAACTAGTGGCCCACCCCACTCTGACGAAATCCAGTCCAAATCTTCCCAAGTAAGACCACCATCGACCGAACCGGGAACCTGGCGACCCCCAAATGCTGGCGCAAATTCGTTCTCGCCGTGAGTGTCTCGTGCATTTTCGGTCAAACCAGCGTCGATATTCTCTTGTGCTTGGAGGTAGCGATCGGCAGTACGCTTTCCCAGTGTTGAAGTGTCCACCGTGACCCACAAGCTTTGGTATCCAGCTGCCTTGACTCTCTGAATGAGTGACTTGGCTTTTGTCCGATCCACAGGCACATAGAGCTGGAATGACAAGTTCGAAGGGCTTTGATTGCCAAGTAGCCGTTGCTCGTCCAGATGAGCATCCATGATCTCCTCGAGCGGCTTCGTAGATGCTGTACTGATCATGGTGTGCAGACCTTTGCGGGTAGCTCCTCTCACCAGCAAGGGTTCAGCACCAGGGTGTGAGCTGCCCAGTGTACCCATAGCTGATACGAAGAAGGGGAACTGAGAGGTATGTCCCAAGATGTTCCTTCGGGTGTCCATTGAATCAACACTCCTCAAGATCCGAGGGCGAAAGTTGATCAGAGACCAGTCATCCAGATTGGTTCTCATTGACAGGCCCATATTAGCTGAGCTTGATACGTAAACCCATGACTTCTCCGACAGGACATTCTTTGCGACCTTCTCAAAGTCTGTCGTGGTGACACATAGAGAAGAATCGGGAATTTTGTTGATTGCCATCTTCGTTATCGTAGTAGCTTAGGATATGAAGCAAAAAAAGAAAAGGAGCATGGAACAAACATGGAGGCTAATAAAGTATAGAAGATCTGATAACGGGCCCGAAGTCGGCCCCGATCGGCTACTCATTCCGGCTCGGCTATGTCCATTTGGGGTAAGATCGATTGCCGAATTGTTATAGTTCTTGAATATTTACGGAGTAAATGTAGACATATACACATTCTCCCCTGAGTTTCCGGATAGTCATCTCTTTTTGTCTATTTTTCTATATCGGAAATGAGGTCCCGTATTTATCGAGAAACAACCATTCGAAATATGTTTCAATATTGTTTGCGCTGCTCGTGTGCAGCCTCATCTTCTTGGGATTATATTCTCAAAATGGTTGGAAAATGAGGATATTCATACGTCAACCATAGAGTCGTAGTCGCCGTTTTTATTGATGTAGATGCGAACATGGTCATTTTAGAGGAAATTAGTAACTAATTGAAGAATCACAAACCGCAGATTTATTGCAGGATCTAATCCCACATCATCTATCCCTGGCTTTTCAGATTTTTGCGATAATGTCTCCAGCTCGTGAACATAAAACAAATTGACAGCACGAGACCCAATGACGCCAGTCCAATTCCCATGTACAGCGCACCGCGGTAACCCCGTAGTACATTGCGCCCTCCATCATTGACATGCGTTTCTACCGTGCCTGCAAATCCTAGGCCAAGGGAGATAGAATAGTTGACCGTTGTAGCAACGAGGGAAGCGGCCAGTCCTTGGTGGTGCCGAGGCATGGCGTTGCTCAATATCAGGGTTCCAGAGGGAAAAGACATGTCCCTAAAGGCGAATGATTAATGACGCTGAATAGGACCAAATCCAATGACACAAGAATAAGAAGACTTACATTCCCCAGGAGGTTATCAAGCTCACCACAAAAGCCTGCGCCCAGTAGGTTTGATCGACAGGTACAGTGGCGAAGATAGAGAGGCCTGCGGTGAAAAATGCCATTGCGCAAAACATGATGACGCTGGGTGGCAGGCGACCAAGTAGGAATCCAGTGATCAAAGCTGCCACGGCACCAGAAATAGCGGCCGCTGACCATTTGGCCGTGGCCAACAGTGGAGAATCACCTTTGATGACTTCCATGAATTGATAGAAGTAGTAGATGATAATTCCAAAACTCGACCAGCCGGCTGCGATACACCCAAGTACCCACGCCAGCTCAGTAGTAAAGACTGACCGCGGGAGCAATGGACATAGTGCCTTGCGTTCGATTAATGTAAAGGCGCCGAGGCAAATGAAACCAACTATGAGGAGAACATAGGTGTAAGGGTTCTTCCAGCCCACGAGCGGGGCTTGATTCCAAGCAAAGTTGATCAGCACCAGGCCTGAAATTCCTGCAGTGGCACCAGGTAGATCAAGACGTTGCCACAAACGAAGATTGTCGTCGAACTTGGGTTGGGGGGTGTAGGGGATGACAAGCCATCCTATCAAGGCCATCATTGCACACGCGATTCCCATCACCCAGTATCCCCAGGGCCACCAAACAAGCTGAGCAAAGATAGAAGAGAAAACACCTCCCACGATAAACCCTCCAGGCGCTGTAGCCCCAAACGCACTGAATATCATTTCCTTGCGTAGGCCCGGCCGATATGTTCTTCCAAGAATTGCAATTGCATTAGGAAGTAACATAGCGGGACCAATCCCCTGAAGGGCACGGCAGCAATCAAAGAATATCTGATTCGACCAGACACTGAACCCAGCCAACAGTGACCAGATACTGAACCAACAGAAACCGATCACAAACATGTTTCGATGACCAAAGACATCGCCTAGTCTGCCAGCAACAAGAATAAAAGTGCCAACCGTTAAGCTGTAGGCGGCTGAGAACCAGCTTAGATCGGCAGGATTTGTGGTGCCGAAGCTATCGCCGATGATATGGACTGGAGCAATGGAGATACTGAGACCAGCTTGAGTCATGAATTGTGCCATACACACCACACTGACGAAGATGGTCTCTTGAAAAACTGATTTAGGCGGTTCCATTTGAGACTGAGACGTTTCCAGTCGGGTCAAAGTTTCGTCAACATCATTTTGCGTGGGCACCTTGTTTAGATTGATATCGTACTTCTCCGAGTCCGACATTGACCGAGTGCGATGATTGTGCTCCATAGCGAAAGTCAAATACGCACCAAAGAAGAAGCTGAATAAAGATTGAGACAAAAATAAGAGACAAAACCGAAAGAAACCAAGCTGGCTTTGTATCTGATCCACCAAAGTGGAAGGCCGACTTCAACATCTTCCCGTCGGGCCCGATCCGACGGAATTGGAGATGTCACTCTGAATCTGTCAACTTCTGTTATGACAGACTCATTGATCGTAGGGCCTAATTTGTGTAAATTGTAGGTTAATGGTATATGCAGCTTCCTATTAATAGGACCAACGATTAGATTCAAGCTGAAAAAGCATTGATCTATACAGGTACCTACATAGATGTAGACATGTATAGGTGCTGAAAAGAAGTACACAAACAACTCCTTTAGCATTTTGATCGAAAGCATTGCCAAATTTCAACTTGAAATGTACTTGAATATAGTCCCTTGTAAGCTCTGAATATGTTAAATGGTATACATCTATAGATGGATGTTATAGTTATACAGCGGGTACTCCAGGCTGGATGAGGGGGTGCTGAGTAAGCATCACATGCATCCATGGAGCTGCCCCAGGCGGCCCTGGTTCTTTCAACTTTCGCTTTCGCTTTGTTCGCTTTCTTCGCTTCTCTTTTGCGTCTTCTCATTGCAAGTCTCAATATGTTTGTCACGATACCCGGTTGATCAGCCATAGGGCTTCTTCTCTAATATTTATTTCCTTCTATCTCCATTGCTTCATTCTCTGCAAACCCCCCAAGACCGCGTTATCACATCTTCCCCCGCGAACAAAAAAAAAAAAAAAACCAAAAGACAACAAAAAGCGACGTGGAGTCCAAGGACACGGTATTGACCTCCATGCCAAAATCACCACCTATTGTGTTTATTGCCAGGTGAATATTTACCTCCGATTGCACTGCTTCCGCTACTCACTAGCATTTTAGACATGGTGCCCGCCTCGATGCTGCAGATAAAGATTGGCACTTAACCTCTCCAAGCCCTTTCGATCCACCCCTTTCCTACGGTGGATGGATACAGTCTCGGGCACTTGGTGTACGTATAGGAAGTCTGCTAAGGGCCCGACAGTTCACCGGGGAAGATCCAGAGAGTCAGCGCAGCCATCACCCGACCTCGGATAAACAGGCAAAACCCACCCCCGCATCTTCGGACCTGTCCCACCGATATAACGTCATTGTCCATACCTCTCCTTACCTTCGGTGTCTGCAAACTGCAATAGGGGTTAGTGTTGGTATCCGCCAAGCCTCGGATACAGAAGCATCCGAAACAACTAGTTCAGCTCCTACTGCCCCCACGGTTTCATCAATCCCTGACCAGCGATGCCTGCTTCGCGTCGACGCATTTCTGGGCGAGTGGCTATCACCGGATTATTATGACCAGATCACGCCCCCGCCGGGCTCGGACAGAATGGTGGCGTCTGCCAAAGGGGAATTACTTCGTCGTGCCGAGGTCATCCCAGCCACCGCTGGTTTGACAAGGGCGTTGTCAGGCCATTTCCCTGGCGGTTGGCGCAGCCAGTCACATCCTACCTCGCCGGATGATGAAGACCGTCGTTTGCATTCCGCAACATCCCAGCGTCAGCGTTCCACCACCCATGACACTCCCCAGAACCCTACCCAACCCAAACATGCAAAGAAGTCTCTCAGTCGGCTAGAAACGGACCTGCCGCCTACTGTAGACGCATATTACGTGCCCCCAACTCCTAGCTATGCCATTTCCGCCTCGGACCCCATTCCTACAGGCTATGTTGCTCATGCACGAAACGCATGTACGAGGATCGACTACCAGTGGGACAGTATGCGCACGCCTTATTGGGGCACAGGGGGCGAGTTCGGCGAGGAATGGAGTACCATGCATGAACGGGTGCATGATGGATTTCAGCACATGATTAACTGGTACCGGGAACAGGATCTACCTGAACACGGTTCTACAGCGGAGTCGAGCAAGGTAAACGACGGTAATATACAAACGGTCCTCGTTATTATCACACATGGCGCGGATTGCAACGCTTTGATCAGTTCGTTGAATGGGCACTCGGTCTTACTCGATATTAACACAGCTTCACTCACTATGGCTGTGCGACGCAACCGTGTCAATAAACCCGCGCATGACATGGATCACACGCCTAAATCCCCAGACCCTGAGAACCAATCGGTGTCACTGGAATACTCCTTGCAGCTTGTGGCGTCGACCGATCATCTGCGCCCGGGAATGAACCCCTCACAGCTCACCTCGCTGCCATCTCCCTCTGTCCCTGTACTTTCACCGCCTCCGGTCCCTGCCTATCGGAATCGTCTTGGCTCTCGTTCATCGCTCCTCCAAGAAACACCAACAAACGGACCACCTAATACTAGCCCTCGGACATGGACCCTGGCGATGCGCCCGGCAACTAGTTCAAGTACCTCTCAAGGTGCCTCTGGGCTATGGAACTCGATCTCGTCGCCTAAAGCGGATGCAGAGGACAACCTTGTGCCGAACTTCGGTGATCGACCGGTCAGTCAAGATTCCGCCCTCTCTGATAGGTATGACAGGTCTGCGGATCTTGGCTGGACGAAGCAGTTACCACAGCGGACAGTGTCGCAGCGTGGTTTATGGGGGAGTGCTCAGCCCTTGGATCGTGAATGCGGACCGAAGCGGCGATGGACGGTGGCGGAACAGTAGCTGTGGAATGATTGTTTTTATTGGATTTTAGGATACCTCTTGCATGGCGTTGTGGTCTACTTTCTAATTTTTTTGGCTTTTCGATATTCAAAATATTCCTATGACGACACCCCAACCCTCAGGCACTACCAGGCATCTACCAGGCACCGATACCGTGGCTTCCCCTCACGTCTGTCTCTCCGTCTCTCCGCTCTTTGCTCTCCTCTCTCCCTCTCTTCCTTTCTTCCTTTCTTCCTTTCTTCCTTTCTTCCTTTCAAGTATCTCCTCCTACCTTTTCCATAACATCGAGACTTCCATGTCAAACATCGGAACAGACGGTCTCTCCGTCACTTATTCCTCTGACCGAACTGGGTCTCCGGATCTACGCTTGATCCACTATAATGATGTCTATCACGTCGAGTATGCTTGTCTCTCCATCCATTTATCCCCCTAGCTTCATAAACTTCAACCTGGGATGATATTAAATTATCTCGTATAGATCTGGCTCTGCGGAGCCTGTCGGTGGGGTGTCTCGGTTCCAATCCCTTGTAAATCACTACCGTTATCACCCACAGTTCGCCGGGCAGCCCGATATCCTGACCTTCTTCTCCGGCGATGCTTTCAACCCTAGTATCGAAAGTACAATCACAAAGGGCAGACATATGGTACCGTTCCTCAACGCTGTGGGCACCAATGTAGCGTGTGTGGGTGTGAGTATGGCAACCAGCTGCCCGTCAGGCCTATGTACACCGCTAATCTGAGCACCCACCTAGAACCATGATCTCGATTTTGGAGTCGCCCAATTCCGCCATTTGGCCAGCCAATGTCACTTTCCTTGGCTATTAGCGAACGTTCTTGACCCGGCACTAGGGGAAGATACCCCAATAGCCGACTGCGGAAAGTCTCGGATGTTGACATCCAATGGGCTCAAGATTGGTGTTTTGGGCCTTGGAGAAAGAGAATGGTATGCGCTCCTAGAATGTATCTTCGGATGCTTTTATTCCTTTGCTTACTCGGGTCTACCTTAGGCTCGGCACAATAAACTCTCTTCCGCCTGATCTGATCTACAAACCCGCATCCCAAACAGCTCGAGTGCTTGCGAAACAGCTCCGAGATGAGGGAGCAGACCTCGTCATCGCTGTCACCCACCAACGTGAACCGAATGACTACAAACTGGCTAACAACCTGTCACCTGATCTTGTGGACATCATTCTCGGAGGCCATGATCATTTTTACGCCCATGCTGTTGTCAATGGAATCCATGTGATGCGGTCAGGGACCGACTTCAAACAATTGAGTTACATTGAGGCTTTCCGCAAACCGGATGGGTTGCCTGGTTGGGATTTCAATATTGTACGGCGAGATGTTGTTCGCTCAATTCCCGAAGATCCTGATATGGTGGCAATGGTGACCCGCCTTACTTCCAGCCTCAGGGCTAAACTAGAAAAGCCAATCGGATTTACGGTCAGCCCGCTCGATGGCCGGTTTTCTACTGTGCGGCAGCGTGAATCTAATTTGGGTAATTTTGTATGTGACCTGATGCGCTTCTACTATGCGGCTGATTGTGCCATGATGGCGGGCGGGACAATTCGCGGCGATCAAATCTACCCGCCAGGAATACTGAAGCTGAAGGATCTACTGAACTGCTTCCCTTTCGAAGACCCCGTGGTGTTGTTGCGCGTTCCAGGCCATGCACTGCTGGCCGCACTCGAGAATGGGGTTAGCCAGCTTCCCGCACTCGAGGGGCGATTCTCGCAAGTATCCAATATCAAGTACGGGTTTAAACTGGATGCACCGTCGGGGTCACGAATTACATTCGCCCGTGTTGGCGGCGAGCCTATTGACTTACAACGTGACTATCTTCTCGCCACACGCGGGTATATGGCCCGAGGAAAAGATGGGTTCACGTCATTGCTTATCCAATCCGAAGGAGGTGATGTGGAAGAGCTTGTGTCTGAGGAAAATGGCGTTCTCATCAGTACAATCCTACGGCAATATTTCCTAAGTCTTAAAGTCCTCGGAAAATGGAACCGCTGGAGCGCCAGCTTAGGTCGACACTGGAGTATTGTGCATCGTAACCTGCATGGTGAGGGCTGGCTGAAGCCAGCATCTCCTAAAAAAGAGAAGAAAGCATGCGAACTGCTGAACCCGCGGCCTGCACTCCGACGGACAGCCCGGTCAGCATACTACTATGGTCGATTTCCCGAAGAAGTCGAACAGGGCACCAACGTTATCGCCGGGGACGAGACGAATGGTAATGCCATGGACTCCGACTCAGATGAGGATCCAGAGATTCTCACATCCTCGCAACCAACTACAAATTACGTCACTCAACCAGCG